CCCAGAGTTCAATGCTTGAGCACACTATCTCACCTCATCTAATAACCATTAATCACACAAGCACAACATAAAAATAATACAAGTGTTGGAGACAGTTATTTCTAGTAGTAATCTCAGAGTACATGCATACAAAATAGACATCCCTGACTCAATTAGGAAGCTTGGATAATGGAATATGTGCAGCCACATGGGGAGTGCTCCTGGTAGCCAAGTAGAAACTTCCTGGAAGTTGGACCCAAAAGCAGTAGCCAGGCTCAGACCTCTATCCAGGCTACTTTCCCAGGTCCTGGAACATAGACACCTCCAAGACTCCAAGCCATATCTGGAGCACCTGATCAGGTTAGCTCAGACTCCAGAACCATTATCCTTCTTCTCTATGCCTGTCTTCCCTGTCCAAATCTGATAGCTTTTTTTAAGCCTAGACTTATAAAGTCTATTGTTACAATAGCTTCTCTCTTAATATATGCTGCCACTTGCCCTGTACCCTCACTAAGTAAATCATCCCCACCCCCATGCATCCAGAGAGCCCTTACCCCTCCCCAACCACCACCAAGGACACCACCACCAGGGAGCAGCAGCTGGTTCCCTGACACATCTCTTACTATGGCTAAGAGATGTGGGTGCATCTCACAGATCACTAAATACATGGAGTTTGTCTCAGAGACCTTCTGACTCTTGCTTTTTGGGTCCTGTTTTCAACTTTTGTAACTTCACCCCTCTTTCCTGGTATACAGTGGTGATATGGTTTGGCTGTGTCCCAACCCAAATCTCACCTTGAATTGTAGCTCCTATAATTCCCATGTGTTGTGGGAGAGACCCAGTTGGAGATAATTAAATGATGGGGCAGTTTCCCCCATACAGTTCTCTTGGTAGAGAATAAGTCTCACAAGAGCTGATGGTTCTATAAATAGGAGTTCCCCAGCAGAAGCTCTCTTGCCTGCCACCATGTAAGACATGACTGTGCTCCTCAATCACCTTCCACCATGATTGTGAAGCATCTCCAGCCGTGTGCAACTGTGAGTTAATTAAACCTCTTTACTCTATAAATTAGCCAGTCTTGGTTATGTCTTTATCAGTAGCATGAGAACAGTCTAATACAAGTGGCCTCTTTCATGTATTCAGATATTTATTCATTCATTCAACCAATAATTTGCTGAACATCCAATTGTGTGTAGGCCCTGTGTCAGTTGCTTTTTTTTTTTTTTTTTTTGACACAGAGTCTCACTCTGTCACCAGGCTGTAGTGCTGTGGTACAATCTCGGCTCACTGCAACCTCCGACTCCCTGGTTCAAGCAAATTCTTCTGCCTCAGCCTCCCGAGTAGCTGGGATTACAGGCACACACCACCATGTCCAGCTAATTTTTGTATTTTTAGTAGAGACAGGGTTTCACCATGTTGGTCAGGATGGTCTCGATTTCTTGACCTCATGATCCACCTGCCTTGGCCTCCCAAAGTGCTGGGATTACAGGTGTGAGCCACTGTGCCCAGTTTTCAGTTGCTTTTGTATACTTACAGATTCATTATTTTACTCAATATCCATGAATCTACTCTGTGCCTACCACCATATTATGTGTATGACTATAAAGATAAATAAAGCATCATCTAGACATAAAATCCTGAATAAAAATCTCACTGTCTAGTGGGACTGAGTACTATATAAAAATACACACTGCAATTCAGTAGGCACATGCTATATGTGAAGTAAGAACAAAATGAGGTAGAAAGGCAAAGAAGGTGATAAATAATTTTACCACCCTCTTGCTGTACCTACCATTCTATTCCCTTACAAAGGTGAGGGTTGTGTTAATTAATTTGAGTGTGGCAATTGTTACACAATCAAATCATCATATTGTACACTTTGAATATATACAATTTTTATTTGTCAGTTATCTCTCAATAAAGCTGGAAAAAATTCTGAGTCAAACTTTTTCTCAGCTAACTGTGACACCGAGAAGTCATAACATAGACTGTGCTGCAATAGCAAAACAAACTCCAAAATCTCAGTGACTTAACTCAACAAAAGTTTATTTTTACTCATGCAGTATTTCATCCAGGGTGTCTGACCAATACTGTCACTGGAGACTCAGACTAACAAATGCTTTATCGTCCCAAAAGGAATCTTAGTTGTTACTCATACAAGAAAAACAGGTAGAAGGAGGATCACAAACTAGCTCTTAAATGCTTCAGTCCAGAAGATATTTTGGCCAGACAGAGCCATATGGTTCTGTCTATGTGCAAGAATGTATAAGCATTTGTGTGTATACGGGAGGAGGCACATTGATAATCAATGAGCAGCAGTAAAGTCTGCTACAAAAAATTTTAAATATCTAATTTTTAGAAGTAAATGTTATTGTGTATATTTAAATATACAACATGATGTTATGGATAGTAAAAAAGTGAAACAAATTACCATATGTATCATTTTACATAGTTACCTTTTTTGTTTGTTTGTGTGGCAAAAAGCAGCTAAAATCTATAGGCACATTTTGGAGATATTGTGGGTTCAGTTCCAAGCTACCTCAATGAAGCCAATATTGCAATAAAGAAAGTCATACAAATTGTTTGGTTTCTCAGTGCATATAAAAGTTATGTTTACACAATACTATAGTCTATTAAGTGTGCAATAGCATTATGTCTAAAAAATAAATATACTGGCTGGGCATGGCAGCTTATGCCTGAAATCCCAGCATTTTGGGAGGCTGAAGCCCAAGGATCATCACTTGAGACCAGGAGTTTGAGACCAGCCTGGGCAACATGACAAAACCTCATCTCTTAAAAAAAAAATTGGCTGGGCATGGTGGCATGAGCCTGTAGTCCCAGTAACTTGGGAGGCTGAGGTTGGAAGATCCCTTGAGCCAGGATGTGGAGGCTGCACCAAGCCGAGTTTACACCACTGCACCCAGCTTGGGTGACAGAGTGAGACCATGTCTCAAAAAAAATGTATACAATTTAATTTAAAAATATTTTATAGCTAAAACATGGTAATGATTATCTGTGCCTTCAGCAGGTCATGAAGGTTTTGCCGGTGGAGGGTCTTGCCTTGATGTTGATGGTTGCTAACTGATCAGGGTGGTGACTGCTGAAGGCTGGAGTGATGTGGCAATTTCTTAAAATAAGACAAAAATAAAATTTGCCACATCAATTGACTTTTATTTTAACTAAAGATTTCTCTGTAGCATATGATGCTGTTTGATAGCATTATATCTACAATATAACTTCTTTCAAAATTGGAATCAATTCTCTGAAACCTGCTGTTGCTTTATCAACTAAGTTTATGTAATATTCTAAATCCTTCTTGTTACGTTAGCAATGTTCACAGAATCTTTACCAGGAGTAAATTTCATCTTAAGAAACAACTTTCCTTTTCATCCATTAGAAACAATCTTCACGGTTCAAGGTTTATGATGAGATTGCAGCAATTCAGTCACATCTTCAGGATCCACTTCTTTCTAGTTCTCTTGCTATTTCCACCAAATCTGCAGTTCATTCTCCCACTAAAGTCTTGAACCTCTCAAAGTCCTCCATGAGGATTAGAATCAACTTCCTCCAAACTTCTGTTAATGTTGATATTTTTACCGCCTCCCATGAATCATGAATGTTCTTAATGGCACCTAGAATGGTGAATTCTTCCAAAAGATTTACTTGCCCAGATCCTTCAAAGGAATCACTATCTATGGCAGCTGGAGCTTATGAAATGTATTTTTTAAATAATAAGACCTGAAAATCTAAATTAGTCCTTGACTCATGAGTTGTAAATAGGTGTTCTGTTGGCAGGTATGAAAACAATTTAAATCTCTTTGGACCTCTCCAACAGAGTTCCTGGTTGACCAGGCGTGTGGTCAATGAGCAGTAATATTTTGAAAGGAATTTTTTTTTCTGAGCCATAGGTCTAAATGGTGAGTGTGTAACATTCAGCAAACCATGCTTTAAACAGACCTGCTGTCATCCAGACTTTGTTCTTCCATTTCTAGAGCATAGGCAAAGTAGATTTAGCATCATTCTTAGAGGCCTTAAGATTTTCAGAATGGCAAACAAGCACTGGCTTCAACTTAAAGTTAACAGCTGCGTTAGCCCTTGACAAGACAGCTTGCCTATCCAGTGAAGCTTTGAAGTCAAGAATTGACTTTTCTTCTCTAGCTATAAAAGTCCTACATGGCATCTTCTTTCAATATAAGCCTATGTTATCTACATTGAAAATCTGTTGTTTAGTGTAGCCACCTTGGCAATGACCTAGGCTAGATCTTCTGGATGACTGGACGCAGCTTTTCCATTGGCACAAGCTGCTTTACCTTGTACTTTTATTTTATGGAGATGACTTCTTTCCTTAAACCTCATGAATGACCTCTGCTAGCTTCCAACTTTTTGTCCTTAGCCTCCTCACCTCTGTCAGCCTTCATAGAATTGAAGAGAGTTAGGGCCTTTCTCTGGATTAGGCTTTAGCTTAAGGGAATGTTGTAGCCAGTTTGATCTGTCCAGGCCATTAAAACTCCCTCCATAATAGCATAAGGGTGTTTTACTTTCTTATCATTTGAGCAGTCACTGAAGTAGTACTTTTAATTTCCTCAAAAACTTTTTCTTTTCATCCACAACTCAACTAACTGATTGGTGCAAGAGGCCTAGCTTTCTGCCTATCTCAGCTTTCAACATGCCTTTTTGACTAAGCTTAATTATTTCTAGCTTTTGATTTAAAGTTAGAGACTTGTGACTCTTCCTTTGACTTTAACACTTAGATGACATTGCAGGATTGTTAATTAGCCTAATTTCAAGACTGTTGTCTCAGGGGCTAGGAAGGTCTGAGAACAGGGAGAGAGGTCAGGGAATAACTGGTCATTGGAGCAGGAAGAACCACACAACTTGTGTTGATTTAATTCACCATTTTATATGGGCACAGTTCACAGCATCCAAAAAAATTATAGTAGTAACATCAAAGATCACTGATCACAGATCACCAGAACAGATATAATAATAAAAAGGTTTGAAATATTGTAAGAATTACTAACATGTGACACAGAAACACAAAGTGAGCAAATGCTGTTGGGAAAATGTCACCAACAGACTTGCTTTATGCAGGGTTTCCACAAACCTTCAATTTGTAAAACACATGATATCTGAAAAACACAACAAAGCAAAGCACAATAAAGTGAGGTTTGCCTGTGCTCATTTAGCATGAATCCCAAATGCAGGATAATTTGATTATCTATCATTCTCATGTTAGAATTTTTAAGTTGTCTAGTCCAATAACCTAATTTTATAGACAGCCAAAAGGTAGGGTTCTCCTCTTCCAAATTATTTAATTTCCAATTAATATCTTCTTACCTTCTAGTCTTTCCATCATCCACAAGGATATTAAGGAGGATTTATGGTCCTTCATACGGATATCAGCTTTTGAAAGATGTAAAGGATTAAAGTAGAGACTGCAATAATAAATTAAGATAGTAGATATAAGCTGAACTATATCAATAATTACATAAACATAAATTAGTCAAATTCACCCATTAAGAGATAAAGAATGACAGATCAGATTTAAACAATACGAATATATGGTATTTAGAAAAATATATGGGTATGCAAAATAAAGTGTATATGAAGTTAAAAGTAATGAAGCAAAAGATCATGTATTCTATTGAGCTCAGCATTTCTCAACTTCAACACTTTTAACATTTGAGGATAGATAATATTTTAAGTGTATAATCCTGTATATTATAGAATGTTTAGCACCATCCCTGAACTCCCCTGCTGTGTAACATCCCCCTCCCCTGCTGTGTAAACCAAAAATGTCTCCAAGTGTCCCCTGGTGATGGTGCAAAATTGCTCCCAATTGAGAAACACTGACCTAAAACAGGTTAGTTTTCCTCTTTATTCATCAGTAAGAGGGCATTCATCATAGTATCTTTCCTCCAAGATGGTTATGAGGGTTTTATGAATTTACGGAAAACTCTTGGCACAGAATGAGTATTGAAGTCATTTAAGAAACTGCTGTCATTTCAATAGTAACGGTGGAAGGAATAGGAATAGGAGTATTATTGTAGTAAGGGTGTCTTCTTACAAAGGGTACCTTTCCAACTTATACTCAAAACAGCAAATAGACTCTTCCATAACGGGGGAAATCTACTCATTTATTTAATCCTTGTATCTGCAGCAGGGATTGAGCTAGACTCTGGGAATAAACTCATAAATACTTGCAGTAAGGTTATAAAAGTGATAAGATGAAACCAAAGATGAAAAACAGGAGAGGGCCGGGCGCGGTGGCTCAAGCCTGTAATCCCAGCACTTTGGGAGGCCGAGATGGGCGGATCACAAGGTCAGGAGATCAAGACCATCCTGGCTAACATGGTGAAACCCCATCTCTACTAAAAAATACAAAAGACTAGCCGGGCGAGGTGGCGGACGCCTGTAGTCCCAGCTACTCGGGAGGCTGAGGCAGGAGAATGGCGAAAACTGGGGAGGCGGAGCTTGCATTGAGCTGAGATCCAGCCACTGCACTCCAGCCTGGGCGACAGAGCAAGACTGTGTCTCAAAAAAAAAAAAAAAAAAAAAAAGAAAGAAAGAAAAAGAAAAACAGGAGAGATAGAGAAAAAAACGAGGATAACAGAAATCTACTGAAACACAGCAAGACAGAGAGACATGCAGGCAGACAGACCAACAACTGTTACTATTTATTAGGCCACCTCAAATCCTAATATGAGCCTGAAGACCCTCAGCTTTAGGGATTCAATTTATATTGCTCCTTAGTTTAGCAACACAGAGCTCAGTAAACTAAAATAAAACATAAGCCCAGCCTGAAATTTCTCCTGAGATACTTGAGATAAATAATTAGAAAATGACCATTAGGAATACCCCACCATACCAAGACTCACAGGATTCTGAAAGATAAAGCCTCACTAAGAGTGGGTTCACAAATCAAATAGAAAACTGCCTGGGAGAGTTGACATTTTTGATAATGGTGATGGTGAAGACAGAGCTGACATTTTTTGAGCAATTTTGTGTCATGCTCTTTTAATTATTTTAAATATAAATATAATATATAAATATCAATATATCAATATGTTCATTTTACATTTGAAGAAAGGGAGGCTTTAAAAGTTAATTAGGGTATTCAACTAGTTTAAGATAACTCAGCTAATATATAGGAAGCTTGAGATTCAAACCATGCATTCTGACCTCAAAATGTTTGCTTAACCCTTTCTAGATTGCTTCTTCATATAATAGACAAGCAAACTATGACTAATGTCAGAAAACAAGAAATTAGAAACATAAGAAAAAAAGAGTTGGAAAGAAGGAACAGATACATAGAACTTCTACAGAGAAACAAAGCAGTTATTGAAGTTGAAAACTCAATGGACAAGTTAAACAGTAAATTAGACACAATTAATTATTTAGAGAGAGCCATGTAAGGAAAAACAGATCTGAGGAAAATACCATACTGCTGCAAAAAGAACCAAAGAGGTAGCAACCGAATAAATTGTGTCATTCCAGCATGTCTATTAGTAGTTACACAAGGAAAAAAAAAAAACAGATAAAATGAGACAAGGTATGATGATGTCTGAGAGTGTTCCAGAGTTGAGGAAAACCATGAATATTCACATTAAGAAGAACATTGAGTTACATAAATGACAAAGAAAACAAGATACATATCTAGAAATCTTATTGAAAAATTCAGGAAACCAAAGACAAAGAGGAGGTCTTGGAAGCAATGAGGGAGGAAAAAAAAGACAGATTCGCTAAGAAAGAATATGTTTCAGACCAACATTAGCTTCTCTACACCAACATTAGAAACTGATAGGCCGGGCGTGGTGGCTCACGCCTGTAATCCCAGCACTTTGGGAGGCCGAGGTGGGTGGATCACAAGGTCAGGAGATCGAGACCATGGTGAAACCCCGTCTCTACTAAAAATACAAAAAATTAGCCGGGCGCAGGGGCGGGCGCCTGTAGTCCCAGCTACTCGGGAGGCTGAGGCAGGAGAATGGCGTGAACCCGGGAGGCGGAGCTTGCAGTGAGCCGAGATTGCGCCACTGCACTCCAGCCTGGGCGACAGAGCGAGACTCCGTCTCAAAAAAAAAAAAAAAAAAAAAAAAAAGAAACTGATAAACAGCAAAATAATATCATTGAAACTCTGGGGAAGTAAACTATCAGCTTAGAATTCTATACCCACTTAAACTGTCATTCAAGACTGACGGTGTAATAAAGAAATTATAAGACAAAATTTGAGAGACATCATCACTAAAAATAAATGAATAAATAAAGCATTAAACAATGTACTTCACGAAGAAAGAAAGTAAACCCAGAAGGATGATACATGCTGCAAAATGGAATGATGAATTTTAAAAATGGATAAACTTGTAAGTAAACCTAAACAATAAAACATCACACAACAATGGTTTTGATCCACTTAGAAGTATCAAAACAAGGGGAAGTTAACAATAAAACATCAACACATAAAATGAGAGATTGGAGGAGTTAAAGAACTTTAAAGTCTTCGCATCATTCTGAAGTAGGGAGGGAGAGATACTGATTATCATAAACTGTTCTAAAGTACACTAAAAGAATGGAAACAGCATTAGAAAGAAACAAAGTAACATAATGATTTTACTTTAAGTAAACTTTGTGTTTTTGCAAATTCAAAACAATCCCCATCCAGGAACAAATTCTAAACAGAGAAAGTTACACCTTAGCAAAGATTTGCCAGGGTCAAGATGTGTTTTGGATAAACAAAAGAGGCTCTAACTAGAGTCTGATATCAGGAATCAGAGAATAGTACTTAAGAACTGGAGTATCAAGCCTCCTGCATTCTGAGCATTGCCTATATGTGTTACCTTAAGAAAAACTCCCAAACTGGAGACTTTATGCAGCAAAACTTTATTTTTGCAATTCTAACCTGGTTTGGGAAAACTCTTCAGGGTTCTGAGAAATCAGTACTAAACTTTGTCAGTGAATACCATTTGTCTTAGTCCATTTTCTGTTGCTATAGCAGAATACCACAGACTGGGTAATTGATAAAGAATGGAGGTTTATTTTGGCTCATGGTCCTGGATGCTGGAAGGTCCAAGAATATGGTTCAAGCATCAGACTAGGGCCTCCTGCTGTTTTATAACATGGTAGGAGATATCACATGGCCAGAGAGGAAGCCAAGCTTGCTTTTTATAACAACTCGCTCTCATGATAACTCACTCCCTCCCACAAAAACTGGCATATTCCTTTAAGAATGACATTAATCCTTTCATGAGAGGCCACACAACCAAAGCACCTCCCACTAGGCTCCACCTCCCAACACTGCTACAGTAAGAAATTAAGGTTCTAACACCTGAACTTTTGGTGGATACATTCAAACTATGTAACTACCATAACATTAGTAAGACAAATATGAGAATTGTTAGGGAGCTTCTCAAATCTCCACATGGAAGCAGCACAGCCACTCCCCTTCTCGATTCATTAGTCAGAACTTGTCACATGAATCTGCCCAACTGCAAGGGGATTAGAAAGTCCAGTTACCAAAATGCCAAGGAAAACAGGGAAAACTAGTAGGCATTAATAATGTGTACCTCACCATTTCACAAAATTCTAAGGTGCCATACTTTTTATGCCAGGTTAAAATAGATGAAATGTGTTTCATATTAAAAATAAATAGATAAGCTTAGAGTCCTTTCCCCACATCTCTGGATTTTTCTTTAGTCCTAGAGATCTGAATGATTACTGCAAATGAGAATAATATTTGATTATGTTAGAGTACTTAGTTTATAAATATGTATTACAAGGTATTATGTTACAATGCTTAATGTCATACATTTATTTATTGAGCACTTATTATGTGCCAGATATCATAGACAAGGTGAATTACTTCTTCCATTTTGAATCTGCAAATGGAAAATAAAAACTCAGGACCCCAATTCACTACACCAAAAGAAAAAAATTAAGCTGAAAGCTAAGTCATTTAAGAAGCTGCCTTTTCTTTTGTTACTAAGCAGATAGCTATAGATAAAATGTTAAATATCTCCACAGGTAGGATGTATGTTCACCTTATCCTATGTAAAGTACTAGATTTACTGAGCACAAGAGAAATACATAATTAACTCTTCCACTATCTGCTCCTTTTCTCTTATAACATGTGGATTATCATACCCTCCCTCTTTCTCCTCTAGCCCACTTTTCCCCTTTACTTATTGAAGCCCTCAAAATCATCTTCGGAGAAAGGCACAGGCCACAGACTGTTTCTGTGATTCCATGTTTATTTTTTCCAGGCATGTCCTTAACTTTGGCAAAATAAACTAAATTGATTGAGACCTGTCTTAGATAGTTTTTGGTTTAAAAATCCAAGGTATTAGAGGCTCATAGATGTTAAATAACTTAATTAAGATACCCAAAATAGTAAAAGACAAAGTAAGTTCTTCAACCCTGGTTTCCAACATGAAGTGTAGGACTATCATCAGAATACAATATTTTCACTCTTACGGCTGTCCTGTCAAACCTGTCCATGCAAGTAAATAATTGTGCAGCAAAACATATCCACCTTCAGCTGTTCATGCCACCTTCAGGCTGACTCCCTGGATGGTGTTCATTTGTTTGCATCTTTGTTTTGTTTTGTTTTTCTATACTAGGACACTCTTTCTTAACTGGTATTAAATTTGATCCTCAGATTTAGAATACTTACATTTGGCTTTGGAAAAATTCTCAGTATCCTTTGTCTATCAAATCAGTGGCTGCCTTTGACATACCCTCCAAGAGTCTGGTGGACATGCCCTCTGTCTAGCCCTCCTCTACCACTTTAAGGAAGGCTTGCCCCCTTCTGAAGTGTGTAGAGGAAGTTGTTCATTTTTCCCTTATCCCACTTTAAATCTTTGGTTTTAATGGAAATTTGTGATACCTGGAATTTTGGCTATAATGATTGGGTATGCAACCCAGCGTGGTCCGAACGGGGAGTTTTCAAACTATAACAGAAAAAGGAGAAGAGGAGGTTAGAGACAGAAAGAGAAAGGAAGGAAGGGAGAAAGAGAGAAAAAAAGAGGGGTTTATTAGTTGTTAAGTTAAACAATTTAACTTAATCATCTTTTTTAAAGGACCTATCTCCTAATATAATGCTTAGGTAGTAAATAGGGGTTAAGAGCTTCAATATAGGAGTTTTGAGAGGTCACAAGTCAGCCCATAACACGCAATGAGAAGGGGAGAATGAAATGAGATAGAAGTAGAAATACACACACAGAGACAAAGATTGAGAGAAAGTAAAAGAGAGTCTTTTCTCTACAGTCTAGAGCAGTGAGGCAGAAAAGGGAAGGAGAAGTGGACGCACATAAAGAAACAAGGGTGGGTGAGGAAAATATTCTGGTTGGTAATTTTTTGGTTTTACTTCATCTTTGTCTTATTTATGGTTTCTGTGGCATTCAATAAATTCCTTGAGCCCAAAGAAAATGAATTTCCATTATGAATAACCAAAGTCCCCTGACCACTACGAAGAGGCTTGATTCAAATCTGGACTCCAAATCTGCTCAGTCTTGACATGTAAACATCAGTATAAGCCTTCTGGAAGGAAATCCCAAGATTTGGGAGGTGGGGGCTATATCTAAATTATCTTCCTAGACAGAAATGTTCACACACAGATATGACCCTCTGAAATGGTACTGCTGACATGAAGGAATGGTTTCATTATTCAAATTCTGAATAGATTTTAAAAACAGGAAAAGGATATTATAAAAATTAAATTATTATAAACATTAAAAAATACTTATTCTCATTACTTATCAAGGAAATTCCATTTTAAACCACAATGACATATTACTTTTCTCCTCTTGGTTTTGGCCAGAGTGTGAGGAAAGGAGCACCCTAATCTATTGCTGGCAACCATTATAAATTAGAAAATTCATTCTAGAGGGCAATTTGGCAATGTATTTCAAAAATCTTTGATCCAAAAATTTTACTTCTACAATTTTTATTGGAAAGAATTCTTTCTTAGAAAAAATGATTTTGGGGCTACTTACAAATTTGTATTTGCAAGAATATTTATGAACTATAATTTATTATGAAGATATTTGGAAATCACATAAATATTGATCAATAGGACATCAAGGGAAAAGCCACTGTAAGTATATGCAATACTTTGTTTTAAGCTCTTTTACTTAAAAGTGACAGAATGGACAGAATGCCATTACTAGCTAAGATAAGTAAGATAAAATACTAAGTATCTAATACTAATAGTATACTAATTCTGAGATAAAGTACTAGTTACATTACTACTAACTAAGATAAAATAAGTAATTTAGTGTTTATATAACCAAAATCTCCAATAGTAGATTGGGTTTCAGGTACTGATGAACCATGAATTCAAGTGATTAATTTAATACATGTTTGTTGTGCACCTATTATATGTCAGGCAGTGGTTGAGATTCTTAAGACACACTAATGAACCAAATAGAAAAAGTAATCCTGTCCCCAAAAGCTTGCACTTTATAGTATGTGATGGGGTGAGGGAGTAGATGATGAACAAGTAAATTCTGTAAAATGATGGAAGATGATAGCTGCTGTCAGAACACAAGATACAATAGAATATCTAAATGATTGTAATTTATGCATAAATTACAGGGTTAAACAATTGGCTACTTAGTGCATGCTTCTTCGAAAAGATGAACCTTGAGTAGAAACTTGAAGGAGATGATAAAGGAATTAGCCAAGGAAATACTGGGGAAAAAACCATTCCAGGTAAAGCCAATGGCTACAGTTAAAAGTTTCAATATAGATTCATGGCTGGTGTGTTTTGAGAACCTCTGAAGGCTTCTAGGGCTAGAGTGAAGTGAGATTGAGGGAAAGTTACAGAAAAGATAGCAAGGAACCAAATTAGATAGACCTTTGTAGACCGTTTTAAGGGCTTTGATTTTTACCCTGGGATATACAGGAAGTCATTGCAGGACTTTGAGTAGAAAAAGAACATGGTCTCTTTATTTGTTTGAAAGATCATCATATATTATTTCCCAGGCAAGGAGCAAGGACAGCATCGGAGTGTCTCTGTGGATCTCCCAGTGGGGAATGGCCGTGGGTCTACCTAGGGTGTCATCAGAGGACACGGTGAGTGTAGTTGGACTCTGCGTACATTTGAAGAAACTTACAACAGAATTTATGGACATACTGTTTGTTTAGTGTAAGTGAGAGGGGTCAGGGTCTTTGAGAAACTATGAGGATAGGGATATGGAAGGCTATGGGTGGAGCAGGCTGGGGTGTAGAGGAGATGAGGAGTTCAGCTGAGGATATGAAATGTTGTTATCAGAGAGCAGCAGCCTTTTCCTGTAGGTCCTGCAGAAAAGCCTAAGGGAGGATCCTGGCCTGGCATCTGTGAAGCCGAATCACAGGAAACAGTTCCTTTTGTAGGTCAACTCTGGACTCATCACTCTGCTACTGGGAATTTCTTATCCTGGTCCCAGGATCCCCCTGTGAACAGATGGGTGGAGGACAGTGTCCTGCAGGGGAGAGGCTTGTGTTACTACCAGAGCTGGGAAGAGACACTAAGGAGGCAAAACATCCAATGTTCCTTACTGTGCTTTCTTCTCTCCCTCTCTCTCTTTTTAAAAATAAATCTTTATATAAACTTATTATATTCTAAGTTCTTTACAAGTGAATATTTACTTGCTTAATACTCATAATAATTCTATGAGTTGAGTATTAGTTATTAATCCTCATTTTACACATAGGGAAACTGAGGAAGAGAGAAGTCAAATGACTTGCCCGTTCAGGCCGCACAGTTTGTAAGCAGCACTGCAGAGTTTAAACCCAGACCATCTGGCTGTGCAAGCCACATTCTTACCATTTTACTTTTTTAAATGATGATGGTGATTTTTATATATAGACAAGGAAATAGATCCAACAATGTGCTACATTTTTTAAAAAGGATTTTCAAAATAGCATGATTAATATGATTTACTTACATATTAAACTACACTTTAAAAATATATGAATGGATTTTCTATTTAGAAAACCCCATTGTCTCAGCCCAAAATCTCCTTAAGCTGATAAGCAACTTCAGCAAAGTCTCAGGATACAAAATTAATGTGCAAAAATCACAAGCATTCTTATACACCAGTAACAGACAAACAGAGAGCCAAATCAGGAATGAACTTCCATTCACAATTGCTTCAAAGAGAATCAAATACCTAGGAATCCAACTTACAAGGGATGTAAAGGACCTCTTCAAGGAGAACTACAAACCACTGCTCAGTGAAATCAAAGAGGACACAAACAAATGGAAGAACATACCATGCTCATGGATAGGAAGAATCAATATCGTGAAAATGGCCATACTGCCCAAGGTAATTTATAGATTCAATGCCATCCCCATCAAGCTACCAATGAGTTTCTTCACAGAATTGGAAAAACCTGCTTTAAAGTTCATATGGAACCAAAAAAGAGCCCGCATCTCCAAGACAATCCTAAGTCAAAAGAACAAAGCTGGAGGCATCACGCTACCTGACTTCAAACTATACTACAAGGCTACAGTAACCAAAACAGCATGGTACTGGTACCAAAACAGAGATATAGACCAATGGAACAGAACAGAGTCCTCAGAAATAATACCACACATCTACAGCCATCTGATCTTTGACAAACCTGAGAGAAACAAGAAATGGGGAAAGGATTCCCTATTTAATAAATGGTGCTGGGAAAATTGGCTAGCCATAAGTAGAAAGCTGAAACTGGATCCTTTCCTTACTCCTTATACGAAAATTAATTCAAGATGGATTAGAGACTTAAATGTTAGACCTAATACCATAAAAATCCTAGAAGAAAACCTAGGTAGTACCATTCAGGACATAGGCATGGGCAAAGACTTCATGTCTAAAACACCAAAAGCAACGGCAGCAAAAGCCAAAATTGACAAATGGGATCTCATTAAACTAAAGAGCTTCTGCACAGCAAAAGAAACTACCATCAGAGTGAACAGGCAACCTACAGAATGGGAGAAAATTTTGCAATCTACTCATCTGACAAAGGGCTAATATCCAGAACCTACAAAGAACTCAAACAAATTTACAAGAAAAAAACAAACAACCCCATCAAAAAGTGGGCAAAGGATATGAACAGACATTTCTCAAAAGAAGACATTCATACAGCCAACAGACACATGAAAAAATGCTCATCATCACTGGCCATCAGAGAAATGCAAATCAAAACAACAATGAGATACCATCTCACACCAGTTAGAATGGCGATCATTAAAAAGTCAGGAAACAACAGGTGCTGGAGAGGATGTGGAGAAATAGGAACACTTTTACACTGTTGGTGGGATTGTAAACTAGTTCAACCATTATGGAAAACAGTATGGCGATTCCTCAAGGATCTAGAACTAGATGTACCATATGACCCAGCCATCCCATTACTGGGTATATACCCAAAGGATTATAAATTATGCTGCTATAAAGACATGCACTCGTATGTTTATTGCGGCACTATTCACAATAGCAAAGACTTGTAATCAACCCAAATGTCCATCAGTGACAGATTGGATTAAGAAAATGTGGCACATATACACCATGGAATACTATGCAGCCATCAAAAAGGATGAGTTTGTGTCCTTTGTAGGGACATGGATGCAGCTGGAATCCATCATTCTTAGCAATCTATCACAAGAACAGAAAACCAAACACCGCATGTTCTCACTCATAGGTGGGAACTGAACAATGAGATCACTTGGACTCAGGAAGGGGAACATCACACACAAGGGCCTGTCATGGGGAGGGGGGAGGGGGGAGGGATTGCATTGGGAGTTATACCTGATGTAAATGACAAGTTGATGGGTGCAGCACACCAACATGGCACAAGTATACATATGTAACAAACCTGCACGTTATGCACATGTACCCTAGAACTTAAAGTATAATAATAATAAATTAATTAAAAAAAAAAATTAAAAATATATGAATGGAACAGTAGGAACCAGCAGGGCAGCAATAATAACTAACATTTATTTAGAACCCAACATTATTCTAAAGCATTTTAGTGCAGCGTTTCACCTGAAACACCTAACAACCCAATGAGGTAGCTTCTTTTATTATTCCCATTTTATAAAAAAGGAAACTGAGGTACACAACCTAAGATATCCATCCAAAAACACACAGTTAATAAGTAACAGGGATGGGATTCAACCCCTGGAAGCCTGGCTCCAGAATCCAAAAACCTTTTTTATTCCTTTTTTTTTTTTTTTTTTTTTTTTTGAGACAGAGTCTCGCTCTGTCACCCAGGCTGGCGTGCAGTGGCCGGATCTCAGCTCACTGCAAGCTCTGCCTCCCAGGTTTACGCCATTCTCCTGCCTCAGCCTCCCGAGTAGCTGGGACTACAGGCGCCCACCACCTTGCCCAGCTAGTTTTTTGTATTTTTTAGTAGAAACGGGGTTTCACCGTATAGGCCAGGATGGTCTCATCTCCTGACCTCGTGATCCACCCGTCTTGGCCTCCCAAAGTGCTGGGATTACAGGCTTCAGCCACCGTGCCCGGCCCCTTTTTTATTTCTTTATAATTTTATGTATTCTCAAAAATTATTGCAATAGCGTAGTACCATTGTTACTGTTACACATAGCAATACAGCAATATTCATTTTGAAACAGAAAAGTTTGTTTGATCACTGGTATCACAGTGGGAATGAAATCCTGTGTAACCATGGGGACTCCAGTAACTAAATGTGATGTGTGGCATGGTACACTGAAGGGTCCATGCTACTGGGAACTTTCTAAATTACATTGTCCTGGGTCTCAGGAAGCAAACACTCTGCCTCCATCCCCTTTGCCAATAACACACAGCAGGTTCACTTCTCAAAGTTATGCAAAGTGCATTGTGCAGGTGTCAGCACTGAGGCAGATAAAATTATTTTCAGTTTTGAACTTTCAGCTGTTTGTGTGCCCAGGGTGGTCCCTGCTGGGGCCTCTGCAAGCACAGAGTAAACCAAAGGGATGTAAACAAATAAGTAGTGAGGCCTGTATTGCATTTAAGAAGCAGAATCTGAAAAGGCAGCGTAAAATGGATATTTATGGGCATCTCAGGAGCTTTCTCTGTCCTCAGTATTGGAGTCAGACACTGTAAGCATTATAAGGACCACGCTTTTTAAAAAGAACAATAAGAACAAAGGCCCTAGCTAGCGGCCAAGACCCCTGCCAGCATCACCACTGTGTTCTTCTAGACCTTCTAGCAGACTCCCCATTGAATCAAACTTCTGTTTATCCATCTCCTGATTTCTGAAGGATTCACACTGTCATCCCTCTCCACACCCCTTACTAGATCAAAAGATACTAAATAATTAATAATAATAATAATAATAATGAACTACTACCATAGATTTTGCACCTTCTCCTGGTTCTATACTGTACAAAGCACGTTAGTATATAAACTCCAATTTTTACAGCAACCCTGCAATTTGCATACTTCTGATTCAATTGTACAGGTGGGGAAGCTGAGGATTACAGAGGTTAAAGGACACTTCCAAAGCCACACAGCTATGTAATAGTGTTGGTGTCAGAATTCAAGCCCAGGTTCAACGATTTCTGAGACCACAACCTGTCAACTCTAACAGATGGCTTCTTTCTCAGACAATCTATGGCCACATGCATGCTGAAATCTCTTGATCCTATCGCAGCTCCTGTGAACAGAGGTGAGGTGAAATAAATATTTGATTGATTAATTAAAATAAGTTACATCTTCTGAGGAATTATAGGGGAATTTGAGTACTTATGCATCTTTACCAATTGGAACGTTCAGCCCTCACTCTTCTACTTCTTGGAGTTCAGCCTGCAGGTTTCAAAGCTCAGGCCAAGGGCCTCTGAAATCATTCAGTATGGGCTGCATATATATCAATCATTTAGCATATGTGACATATGCTGAGTTAATACCAGTATCCTGGAAAGAACACCTCCAAGAACAGGAGCATGAAGTTCTGCTCACCTAAAGATTCTGTTCTTCCTTGGCAGCATAGACTTGAGTAATCCATTAGACTCTCAGGCCTGTTTCTTTCTCGCATAATGGGAAGCATATATGTTCTACCTCTTTTGTAAGTCTGTTGGGAGAAGAAAATTAAATTGAGGTAAACCATACACAACGCTTAACACAAAGTGGCCATCATATAGTATGCTCTCAACAAATACTTGACTTGATGTTATAGTTGTTCTTTTAAAGCACTACAAAAATGTAAAGTATTGTTATGTTTGTGATTATTTTAGTGTTCCCCAAAAATACACAGCAAGATCTGAGAAAGCAGAGACACTGGAATTTTTTTCTTTCATCACATCTATGTCCAGACATTCGTCATTTTTCACCTGAATTACTTAAATAGCTGCTTAACTATTCCTTTTCCTTTTAATGTCTTTCCTCCAATTTATTTTCCACAATCAACAAAACAAATCTAAGTCCATTCCATGAAAAAAGCTATCAGGATGTCCCATTGCATAGGGAATGAAAGACAAAGTCTTTGGCACGTTACGTAAAACCTTCCATGACCATGATCTTCTCTTCGAGCCTGATCTGCCTCTACGAAACCTCCCACCCTATTTTCCATTAATGCTGTGGTCCATTTTATATGATTTTCCCTTGAAAGTGGGACTCCATTCTCGTTATCTAGGCTGGTCCCATCTTCTATAGCTCACTTTACCATCTTCTGCTTCTACCCCAGTGGACACAGGTATTATCTCTCCAACCAAGCCAAAGTTTTCTAATCCCCAAGCACATAAAAGTGTCCTTCCTTCTCAACCACTCAACCACTCAATCAGGAAAAGTCCTACCAGTCTTCAAGACTGTGCTCAAATATCACTTTCTCAGGAATGTATTTCCTAACTCCCCTGGCAGAGTCAAATGAACACTTGAGTGCTGTATCAGTACTTGGATCTCACTTTGGTTACAGCACTTGTCACATTATGTTGTGGATGTTTCATACATGTCTTCACCATCCCACCATCTATACTATGAGTCCCTTAGGGGACTCTGATCAACTTTGTTTTTCTAGTTTCTAACACATAGAAAGCATCCAAAATAATTCTAAATTTCAGAGGTAAAGAAAGAAAGCAAATATCAGAGGTCTCTCCCAAGCACTGTGTATAGGAAATTTTTCTTTTGAATGTATTTGGTGCTATCATTAAAAATCATCAGAAAGGTAAATAATAAGCAGTGAAAGATGAAGAAGGTTGAAATGAGAATGGGAATAATATGGGAAGTGGGAAGGATAATGATGACTATACAATGGAATTGTCAGTGAAATGAGCAACTAACTTAAATTAGGAACTATTCACAAAAAGAATTGTGAAGATAATTTGGAAAAAGTTTAAGAAGAGTTTGTGTGGAAAAGAGAAATTGTTAACTTTCATATTTAACAATGACAGCTATTAGAACATGACATGGGAGCAAAAAGTAATTATCATGTGTAACACAAGTTCAGCATGGTGGACCCCCAACTCATGATTATTGACTGATCAATTATCAATTGAAGAATGTGACCTGCAGGTTGTTTCTTTAGTTCATGGTACAACACGTGTATTAACTGCCTTAACTAAGTCAGTATTATAAATATTCCAAAAATCACTGTGTATTAATCAGCCAGAGCTGCTATCACAAATTACCATAGACTGGGTGGCTTAAACAATAAACATTTATTTCTCAGAGTTCTGGAAGCTGGGAAGTCCAAGATCAAGATGCCAGCAGATTTGGAGTCTGGTGAGCACCAGCTTTCTGGTTCATGGATGAAGTCTTCTTGCTGTGCCCTCACATGGTGGAAGAGATGGCTGAGTTCCCTTGGGTCCCTGATATAAGTACACTAATCCCTCTCATGAGGTCTCCAGTCTCATCACCTGATTACCTCCCAAGGGCTCCACCTCCAAATATCATCACTCTGGGGATTAAATTTCAACAGATGCATTTTGGGAGGACACAAACATTCAGTTTGTAACACGCGTGAAAATATTTCTTAAATACTTTATAAAAATAACATACCACAGAGGAACAGCATGGGCATGGAATGAAGCAGCACGAAACAATGGAATTAACGTTGCATTTGGGAGTTCAAATCTCACCCTAACTGTGTGATGTTGGAAATTCTACTTTTCCTAACTATGTCTCCGTTGTTTTTCCTCTTTAAAATGAAGGGTTTTCTGTTCTTGTGATAGTTTGCTAAGAATGATGGTTTCCAGCTGCATCCATGTGCTGACGAGTTGATGGGTGCAGCACACCAACATGGCACAAGTATACATATGTAACAAACCTGCACGTTATGCACATGTACCCTAGAACTTAAAGTATAATAATAATAAATGAATTAAAAATAAATAAATAAATAAATAACCTTAAAAAAAATAAAATAAAATGAAGGGAATCACACCTTCTTCATAAAATTGCTATAAAAATTAAATGAGCTAAAATAGTAGGTTAGTTCTTTGATTTTTTTTTTTTTCCTAAAAATCAATTGTTTTGGTCCAAAGAATAAGACCTGGTTACTGGTTCTGAGCTTTCCTAGTTTTAAGTGAACAGCTATAAAAGGCAAACTGTCATATCACGTTGAACTTTAATTTCAATGAAATGCACATCTCATGCTCTTCTTCACTTCCCCATGTAATCCTGGCACCTTCAAGGCTTGTGCTTCCCTCCATCATTGTTTCGGCAGCAGTCACATTATGAATTGTTGATAATTTCATCAAAGTCTGCATGGTTACTAACTTTGGGTGTGAGCTACAGCATTTTCATCTGCCATTTTTGTATCAAACACATTCAAGGATCACACAAAACATAACCTGGGGAAGGCTTGCTCTCCTTTTGCTCTTGTTCCTGTCTCCTTTGATTTTCTAAATGGGAATTGTTCTAATGTGCATGTGTCTCAAAGGCTGTCTGCATAATTCAAAATTAAGTGGACAGTGGACAAGTATTTATTGGGTGGGAGAGGGCCAGAAGCTAGGATGTACATTTTACATACATTGTCTCTAATTTAGTAAACAAGCATGGTGATGTGTAAAATCTATTTATACCCCCTTGTTACAGATGAGAAAACCGAAGCTCTGAGAAGCCCTGAAAGTTGGGTGACAGCAGAGCTGAGCTTCATTTGGGGATCTGTTTGACTTCACAGCCTTTGCTCTTTCTGGAACATTAGGCAAACTCTCATGCTACAACCTTTCTCCAAATGGCCTATCACTGTCACTCGGTTCATATCTACTATAGTTTCTTGATTACATTTTCATTACTCTGGTCAAGTTGGAAAATTCCCTGCCTGAAGTCATGAGTCCCTTATCTCATGCTTCTTTGACTGAAATCTTGAGTCTCTTATCAATTCTTGTCATCCATTCTCAAAGATTGGAAATCTATTTTCATAGTTGCCGAGCACGCTCTTGGTCCAAAACAAATAAATTACTAAGAAAAGTAACGAGGTTGTCATGTGCTTCCCCACAAACTCCATAGCCTGGCTTAGATGGAATAGAAGGGGTCCCTGACCCCAGATCACTACAACTGGGAGCTGGCCATACACACAAGAGGCCACCCTACCCATCAGTCACCCACTTTGTCCAAGCCATTTTCACAGTCAAATTCCTCACCAGGAGACACAGTAAAAGATCCATGGAACTTTAGGCCACAGCTGCCCTTTGATCACTTCAGACTTCCTTTGCCAAGACAGAAGCAAGCAAGGAAAGACTCATTATCCTGACAGGAGTAACTGATGACCCACTCAGAGGATCTAAGTAGGTGACCCTCATTACCTGTTTCAGACATCCACTGTTTCATAACTGGCATAGGAAACAAAGAGTTTGATACTCAAGTGGCCTACAGACCATCACTTGGTGACCTTTGCCTAATCTTGACGGTAAGTAGTCAAGAACTGAAGCCACTGCCTGAGAAAAGCATAGTGACCAATGGCTCAGATTCCTCAGGGATAAGAGTCTGTGCCACTGATTAAGACCAGCATAGGTAGTAGTTAATGGTGAAGGGAAACTAGATTGGTAAGGAAAGCAATGTGATTCGGTTACAGCTCCAAGACCACCTACAAAAGCAAGGGTTATACATCATCCTGCTAACATTTTCTTACAAGTTTCCCCAAGAAAGACACAATCCAGGATCCTGGAGAAGTTGATCTCCAATGGACTAAACTTAACATAAGCAACAAGCAGATTTGAACAGAGCAACAGAGCAAGGAGTGGGCTACAGTGGATGCTGTGATGTGCCACCTCCATCCCCTTCAGGACTGACGCACTCATCTTCCCAGCTGCCAAGAGTGCTGCCTGATGGAGGATCACTACTTTGCTCCTCTCTGGGAATTGCCTCCAGTCACAGGAATGAGCTACCCCCAAGGTTACACCCTCACTCTGGGGCAGCCCTCATCTAATGACTAGTCTATGCGAGGTAAAAAACCCAGGCCCCTTGCCTCAGTTGGGACAACCCTGAAAAGCCTCCTAGCTTCAGAGCCCCACATGTTTTTGGCTGAGTTATCTATGTTAACTGTGTTCCAATTTAACTTTTCCCTCTGCCCAATCCTGCCTTTCCTCACTTCCTCATGGAATACTCCCGGTAAACCTACTGAATACATATCAGATGTGTTTCTAGGAAACCTGGCCAGATTTTACATCTATACAGTGTTTGTTCATTTTTTCAAACAATTATAATAATAACTGATTTACATTCTACTACCCTTTATCTTCCACCCCTCCTTTTCAATTTTATATCCAATCAATGAATTCACTGTGATCTATAGAGTCATTCATACTGTCTCGCCATCACAAACATACATTCTGTTCACTAAGTGTTTGACTCTGCTTTTTTTTTTTCTCAAAATATTTTATGTAACAATGAATATATTTTCTTGTTTTCCTATTTGGCACCACTGTTTAACTCTTAAACAATTTAAATATTTCCCTCTGGGAGACTTGAATTTATTTTGCATGATTACACAACATAAGATAGTCATTGCATTCTCTGTCTGTCTGGATGAAGGTTCTGTCTTAGGTAAGCAGTCTGCTACTTGCAGCCTCTACAACCTTAGACAACTCCTGGTGTCTTTTCTTGGGTCAAGACTGTGGCTCAGCAGCTTTGTGC